GGAGGGAAGAGAGGTCAAAGATGAGGAGGACTAGAAGCAGCCACCAGAAGTGTAGGCGGTGAGCCCAAAGGCCGGGGAGCCCTAGGCAGCGCTCGGGTTGGGGTCTGGGAATGGGGGAAAGTGAGACCTCCACGTTCCCACCTGTAGGATGAAATCCTTGAGTGGCCCCTAACCCTCCCTTCCCATTGTTTTCCTCCTCCTCCCCATTGGCGAACCCTAATCCTCACATTGCCAGAGAGAAGCTTGTAAAGTCCCTGGGCCTAGAGAGCTCCCACAATGGGTTGTCTGCCCTTATAATGGGTGCACCTCCCCGAAGCCCCAGCTTTTTCCAGCCCAGGAGCAGCCCAGCTCCCCTTTCTGCTCACTCCCTTTCCTTCCAAAGGCCTCCACCCCCTGCATTTATTATGCCATCCAGGGACAAAGCGGATACCAACCAACTCCAGTTATTTCTCACCTAAGACCAAGTCCCTAAGTGCCAATAGACCATTTACAACACGCAAACCAACACCAAGCACATCCCAGCAAGGTTCAGTCTCTCCTAGTCTTAACCCCAAAGGAGCATTTCCTCTTCCCAGCTGGAGTGTAAGACCTCTTACCCCAGCTGCCCCCCCCCCCCCCGGGGGGGCCCCCCCCCCCCCCCGCCCCCCTATCCTCCTCCGGAAGGATGGCTGCTCATGTGGATTTTTAAGATACAGCAAGCGGCATACAGATTCAGAAAGGCTCTTAGAAACCGTCCACCCATCTCTGAAAATTAAAAGTTGCTGGAAACTTTGGCTAACATGGCAGAGCTCTCCCTGGAGATGGTCTGAAGGGTCTGCGCTGGACCTTCTCCCAGCTCCCTTGCGCCTTTGGTGGAGAGGTATTCCACCGGCTCTGGGAGTAGCTGAGGTGAAATTGGGGATCAGGGGAAAGGGGTGAAAGGGATTCTAGGAGTAGCTTCCCAAACAAAGGAACGTCAGAAAAAAAAAATGGGTTGAGGGGTTGTGGATTTGGATATCAGACTTTGAGACACAGTAATCCCCAAGGAACTGTTCAAGTGGCAAGCCCTCTCTCTCCTTTGGACCCAGAGGCTGCCCCCCTAGCCCCTGAAGCCTTGTGGGCCTCTCCTGCCACTTCCTTTTGTCCGTCCCCCCTCAGCTCCCTCCAAGCAAAACAGGACAGGACCGGTAAGCTGGACATGGGGACAGCGGTGGGAGCCCTGCAGGGAGGCAGACCAGCACCCTCCTCCCTCCCCTGGCTGTACCCAAGCAAACACTTTTATTCCTTCTCTCCCCAATACGCAGTAACAGAAAAACAATCTAGAAATTCCAAAATAGCGAAGAAGGGGTTGGGGGCAAGAGGGGGTGGACATGGGCACACAGCAGCCCAGGGGCCGCTGGCTCCCAGCGGAGGTGTGACTTTCCCTCCCGGGCAGGACGCAGGAGCCAGCACAATGTCCAGTCTCAGAGAGGTCAAGGGGCTTCCGAGGTCATTTTGTGGTTCTAATACTGAGCTAATCGCCTAGAAAACGTGGCCTTTCCATGAACTCTCTCGCCTGCCAACCTCCTGCCTCCAAACTCACAGTGAGCCCCAGGGAAAAAGGGCCAGCACATTCAGGTCTGAGGCAGAGCCCGCTGGCTCGCTCACCCTCAGAAGCAGGGCCCCAGGTTGGGGGGGGGGCGGCGAACTAAGAGAGCCCCCAAACTAAGAGAGCAAAAGGAAACCAAACCGAACACGGAGCCTCCAGGAAAAAGGGAGGGGGACAGAGCTAAAGAGGAAGATTCCAGCGGCAGGAACCTTGCCTGTGAATGGAGCAGTTTCCTGCTCCAGAGAATTGGGAATATTTGCCTGGAATCCCAAGCTTGCCACAAAAAGGGGGAAAGGGCAGACATCCACCTATACCCTCCTCCAAGCCTGGGGCATTCCCTCCAAGAAATGCATTCCGTTTTTCCAGGGGGCAGCATGACATCTCACTGTAAACAGTTATGTGGGACACAAGCCCTCAGTGTAGACAAACAGAGTCACAGAACGACCGGCCACATGTGCGCGTCGCTACACACATACACATGCACAGATGCTTGGGTGCCACAGGCCCACCTGCATTCTCCAAAACCAGGAAAGCACCCTGAGCTGCCTCACACACAACCTTCTCTGGGGTTCTTCGGGGACCCTCACACTCAGGCCCCCGCAGTTCAAACATTCTCCAGGTGTCAGGCCTCTCTCCCATCTGACCCAAGCATCAGTCATCATAAAAGGCCCCAAACCTGACCAGAGTCACCATAAAAACCCCACCACGATAGGGGTTTCTTCTTTCCCTTGTTAAAAAAAAAAAAAAGCAGAAGGAAAAAAAAGCTCATAAAACGATTTAAAAAAAAAAATGCCAGCCCAGGCGGGGGCTTTGTTACCTTTGCGCCTCTCGCCTCCTCTCGCCCCGAACTCCTCGAATCCCATTCATGGTGAAGGGCTTCTTCCAAACTGAGAGAAAAAAGTTTTCAACTTTACGGTTCCAAAATTTTTCCCCCTCGCAGATCTGGGAGAGGCGGCTAACACTTTTTCCCCCCAACAGCCGGTCTGCGGAGATTTGCTGTTGAATAATAACAAAGGAGAGAGGATACGTATTTAAAGAAAAGAAGTGATTAATGGTTTTCTGTATAATTCTCACATTTTTCTTAGCTCTTGTCTACACAGAATGGCTGTGAACTTTAAGCTCCATAGAAATCTTTTTTTTTATTCTATTCATACCTTCCAAGGAGTAGCTTTGATTTGGTTCTATAGAGGCATTCCTGGGGGGGCATATGCTTTTTAAGAACTATTTTCTCCCTCTGCTAAGGGCAGTCGCATCTCCTGGCAGCTAAACATCACACCAAAATGGACCGAACAAAGCTGGCCGCTCTCATCCTCCAGGTCTGGGCGATTTTTTACGAGTCTCCCCGCAGCATTTAAACCGGCAGTTCAACCCTTTCTCAGTGCTAGGGACACCAGCCCCGTTGGTCCCTTGGCCCTACCCAGCTTCAAACTCCCGGGTGCTGCAAACCAGGGGAATACAATAAAAAAATAACAATGAGATGTGTGGGTGGAATTGGCTATTTTTATTTTCTAAAGGGAGAAGGGACTAAAACAACCAACCACTTTTCATTCATATGCTCTCCCCAGCCCTGGGCTCTCTGGAGGCAGGGTCTATACCCGGGGCCACCACAGGACCAGAGAGCTCAGGCTGGAGCCCCCAGACCTTCGAACTTCTCGTGGGTACTGCACAAAAGCGGCCCATGCTTAACAGAACTTCTGAGGGTCACCTGCATTCCCTTCCCCCACTCCATTCTAGGGGTGACTGGGACCTCCGAGACAGAAAGCGATTTGGTCCCCAGTCGTACTTTCGATACTTTCTATGAGAAAGAAAATGAAAATTAATACAGGAGCAGGGCTTCACAAAAGAGGCCATTTGTCTTCTTGATTATCTATTTGCTTGTCAGAGTTTGAGCTATGGCACCGGCTAGCTCCTTTGTAATATAAAAATACTCTGAAAACCTGCAAACACCCAGAAACATCTGTGCAAAAAATTAGACTCATTAAAGCCTTAAACACCTCCGAGGAAAACGATACCTTCTTATGCAGGAGAAAAGAGGCCGGCCTCGCGGAATCCTCTCTCGGAACTTTAATAAGCAAAGAGCCGTCTGTCTAGAAGGAGACAGCTTAACCGCATTTTATTTGCTTATGACAAATAAATCATGATATGAGAGGCTTTGCCATACTTAAGCCTCTTGTGTCCTACAATGAAACATTCCCCCCACCTCCACATTAGGGATTGGAGTCAGCCCTCCTCGTCCTTTCCATCCATTTTTTTGGACTGGAGGGGGGACAATTAAAGAACACACCCACCCCCAAAAGAAAACAAACCAACTACCACAGTTTGGAGTCCTTGAAGATAGAAATTCCCATCGGACCCTTTGGGGGGAAAAAAAAAATCCTCAGCCACATACAATGTGAATCCAAATGGACGGAGGTGCTTCAGATCGAGGCTAGGGGGCATTTGTCTGTATCTTTAGATCAAGGCTTAAACAAAAACACGCTGTGCTGGTCACAAGAAACCAAACATTTATTTCTATTGTCACTCGGTACAGGACACACATTTTCACGCCAACGAAGGGTTCTAGACTCAGGCAGCCCCAGAACTAGGAAGGGGGCCTAGTTTGGAATGTCAGGAAGAGAAGAGGAGAAAGGACACACATAACATAAAATAATAATAATAATTAATTAATAATAATAATCAATGCAACAATGATCAACTATGGGAGAGGTCTCTGACACATCATCTCCCAGACCCGGGAGGGGCGCAACATTTTATTTCCTAGTTTCACATTCAGTTTCAGTCTAGGAGGGCAGATCACCTCTGAACAACTGGAGATGGGCGAGGGGGTGTGCCCAGAACTCTGCCGCCCTCACCCTGCAGGGACAGCTTGACCTGCCCAAGGCAGGCCCTCCGGGGTCTGCGTGTCTCTTTTCTTTCTTTCTCCTTGGACTCAATTTCCCTGCGGTTGCCAAGGCCGCCCAAGCCTCCACTTGCCCCCTTCCTGCTGCCTCCCCTTCCCAGCCCCGCCGTGGAACGGGGTGCAGTCAGTGTCCCCGCCAAGGGGCCTGGATGGGCCACCGGGAGGAGGTGTTATGTGTGTGTGTGTGTTACCGTGGCCAACACACCGCGCTCTCTGGCAATCAGAGGGCGCTTTCGCTGGGTGTCAGCCCTGGGGGACAAAGAAAGAAAACCCGGGCCGTGTTCCGGCGGCGGCAGCAGCAGCAGAGGCTGGGCGGCCGGCGGCCTCATTTGTTAGCCGAGTGTCGAGGTAATGGTCGCCGCCGAGGCCCGTCCTCTCCGCGGCAGAGTAAACAAGACAGATGGGCCCGGGCCTGGCGTGATTAAAGATGAAACGTGGATCCATCTTCGCCACAGCTGAAAACGAGGCGTGCAGCCTCCTCCTATTTCTCTTTCTGTCTTTTCTTTCTTCCTTCTTCTTCTCCTCTTATTTATCTTTTTTTTAAGAAAGCAAGAGACTTGAGCTTTGCTTCTGGGGGGTGCTCCGCATTGTGGTTTCTATAAATAAAGCTTCCCCGACCCCTCTCTGCGTTTATTCGTGAAAATAGATAGAGGGGGGTGGGGGGGAGGCAGGAAGGCTTCTCCAGCCCCAGGCCCCAGGGTTTCCTCCCGCCTCTCTCCCCCGCCTTCCCGGCGCTCGCCACCCTCCCCGCCCCAGGTCCGTGGCTCCCCGCGCGCAGAGGCCACTAGAGCGCGGGGGGACCTCCGTTGGGCCGGCCTGGGGGCCCTCCGGCTGCGCCTGCGGCGCCGCCCGAGCGGATCTTGGTGTTGGGCAACTTGTGGTCTTTTTTCCACTTCATGCGGCGGTTCTGGAACCAGATCTTGATCTGGCGCTCGGACAGGCAGAGCGCGTGGGCGATCTCCACCCGCCGGCGCCGCGTCAGGTAGCGGTTGTAGTGGAACTCCTTCTCCAGCTCCAGCACCTGCTGGCGGGTGTAGGCGGTGCGAGAGCGCTTGGGCTCCCCGCCGGCGTAATTGGGGTTTACTGGACACACACAGAGAGAAGGAGAAAGAGAAAGTTTTATGGCCCCCAAAGGGAGGAGGGAGAGCACTTTCTTCCAGAGAACACAGTATCGCCCGCCCTCCCTCCCTCCCTCTCCCGCCGCCTCTTCTGACTCCGGGGGGCGGGGTGGGGGGACAGGGAAGCAAGCGGGGGCCGCTGGAAGAAAAGGAGACCTCGGAGTTTGGGAGGCTTATCTCCATGTTGTTTGGGTGTGTGTGTGTGTGGGGGGGCTCAGAGTGAGGAAATCTTCACCAGGTTTTCCTCGTTCCTCTCCCGCCTTGGCCCGAGGCCCGGGGTGGGAGAATGAGGGGTGAAAGGGGAGGGGGCTTCCCTCAACCTTTCTCCTGTCAGTTCCCACCCTCTCTGCTCGGATTCCAAGCAGTGCCTGCCCCCAACAAAAAACTTTTGCCCACTTCTGGCGCCCAGGAGCCAGGCCAGGGGAAAGCAAGGGGGAAAATCAGTCGTGGGAGTTGACTCAACGCTCCGCTTAAATACAGATTTCCTCCTCCTCCTTCTCTCCCACCTCCCGCCCCCTCCCCGACTTCCAACTTCACTGAGACTACGCGTCCCTGGCGAGAAAGTCGCTGGTGAGAATGGCCACAGAGAATGGGGAGCCGACTTCAAAGGCGCGGGGCCCACCAGGCCATAAAAATTTATGGGGGATGTAATTATGTGGCTCTGAAAACAGGCGACCGTAAATCTCGGCCGTGGCGAGTTTATAGCGGGGACAATTGGCTTCCCCT